CGTGAAGCCCATCGACCTGACGGTGCAGGTGGAGCTCGGGGCCGCCGACACCGTCGGGCCCATCCCCGCGCGGCTGCCGGTGCCGGTGCCGGTGGTGGCGGCGGCGGCGGCGGCGGGGGAGGAGAGCCAGGCGGAGGGCGGCCCCCCCGACCACTCGTACTCGCTGTCGTCGGGCACCACGTCGGAGGAGCTGCTGAGGAAGCTGAACGAGCAGCGCGACATCATCGCGCTGCTGGAGGTGAAGATGAAGGAGATGAAGGGCAGCATCCGCCGCCTGCGCCTGGCCGAGGCCCAGCTCCGCGAGGAGATCCGCGAGAAGGACCGGCTGCTCCACGCCGCCAGCGCCGGCACCCGCAAGCGCCACGGCCTCTGAGGGCGCCCGGCGCGGGGCTCTCCGTCCCAGAGTCCCCGCCGCCCTCGGAGAGGTGCCGGGCAGGGCGGGGGTGGGATGGACCGCGGCCCCTCAGCCCCCGGCTGTCGCCGCCCGGTCCCTCCCGCCCGCGCCACAGCGGCCCCCAGCCGGGCGAGCCCTCGCCATCGGATTGCCCTGCCTGGGCTGGATCAGCTCGGTGCCCGGCCCCGTTATCACCCCGACGTTACCCCCGATGTTGTCACCTCACACCGGGCCCATCAAACCCGCTCTGTGCCGGCAGTGTCGGATCGCGCTGCTCATAGCGTGGCTGGGGCCCGAGCCGTCACTGAGTGGATGTGGGATATTAGTTTTCGGCAAACAAACAAACTCGCTCTGTACCGAGTGAGGTAACAGCAACACTACCCTGGAGAAGGCGTGTCCGGCTGCCCGGGCACTGCACCCGCCATAGGAATGACCCGGCGATGCCGCGTCCGGCCTCGCTCAGCGGAGGCACGAGGAAAGCTTTAGAAACCCTCTCAGGGTGATGTGTTCCTTCAGTAAATTACTGATGCCATAACAGACTGCTGTCCCTGGCGTGACAGAACCCCCAGATTAAAGAGTGCTCTTGTACCTTGTAGTTTCTGCTTTCTCCGCAGCGCGTGCGTGTTCGTTACGGGCGTCTCGATGCTCTCGGCACTAGGAAGGATTACAGACTGGGACGAGGAACCCGGTGGCATTTGACAGCTGTAGTTTATCTCATTGGCTTAAGACTCCTTCTAATGAAACGGAGGCTTTGTAACACGTTGGAATTTTAATCCTTGGCTTTCGTTCAGAGAACCGGGATGAAACAGAAGCGAAGCGAGTTCACCTGCAGTGGTTGCAAACCTTTGCTGTCTAATCCTCAACTAGTTGGCATGACTAATAATCTGTACATTAGGCAAGACCATACTGAAACCTGCTTGCGTGTTCTAAACCAAGATTTAAGAGTATTGTAACAAATCTATGTGGAATGATTGTGTAGTTTCTGTTTCTAGCCAGCATCAGTCCCCTCACTTTCTGCGACAGGAAACCAAATCAGCGTTGGCTAGAAAGAGGGTGGAGTGAGGGTAGCAAGGCCACAAGTTTGGGTTGGTTATTAGTTTCAGCTTAGCTGGTGGAACAGATACCTCAGCACCCTGGAGGAGGAGGAGGAGGAGGAGGAGGAGAGTATCTGGTGCCCCAGCACAGCCCTGTGGCGATGCATCGATGACAGTGGATGTTGAGAACAAAAGGCACTTCACTACACTGTGCCCATATTCACCTTCGAGCGAGGAGTGCCCAGGGGTTTCCTGGGTCTGTGAGATCCTTCTGGAACCCGAGTGTGTTGCACTCGGTGGATTGGGATGTCACTTTTACTGAATTTTATAGAGGTATTTTCTAAGTGTAAAAAGTATCTTTAGTTTGAAATTATGTAATCTTTGTAACACTGGCTAATGTAGCTTTACAACCATCAGCTTCAACACTGTGTAGGACCGAACAAAAGGGCACTGTGGGGTTTGGTAGCCAGAGGTTTCTCTTTTGATCCTGGAGCCCGTTCGGCTCCAGGCTGTCCCAGCCTGCTATGTGATGCATGGGTCATTTTTCTATTGTGTGCCAAGTTGGATGGTCAACTGTAAGGATACTTCACGTCTATCCATGTACTAAGTACTTCCTGTTATTTCATTTTAATTTATTCTCTCCAATCTGTAGCTCTCCAGCTCCATGCTACACTGATTTTCCTGCGAGTCGAGTTAGCAGCAGTTTTTCTGTTTGGTTGGTTTGGCTTGTTGTTTTGGTTTCTTTACTGTAGGACAAGCAGATACTTGCTCCAACATTGGATTTAACATATGAGATTGGTCCAGCAGATGTAGATGCTTCCATCAAGACAATAGGCAGCACAACATCCCTCCTGACAAACGAGGCCGGTTGTGCATCCTAGAGTGTTGAGAATGTGCATGTCGTGACAGTCGTGGTACTTTTTTACCATTGGGATGCACTTCAGGATGTTCAGCCATTTGGCCTGCTGGACTGGTTACCTGCTGGGCTGTTTGACTTCTCCAGGTTACACTGAGGTGCTAACATGCTTAATTTTAATAAAGTATATTTTGTTTTCTTACGTTTCCCGTCTCCGTGTGGTGGATATTTGTATTTCTGAAAGGTTGGCAGCTGTGTCTTGTTTTCTCCTTGTCATTCCTCAAGAGCTCCATGGCTGGAACAGCAGGAATATCTTTACACTCATGTAGGGTGAGGAAGAGGAGTCTGAGACTAACAGCTCTAAACCAGTCTGAAAGCAGGGACTTCAGGATGTGGAATTACGATTTCAAAGAAAGTACATGCAAGCTCTCCCCTACCTTAGGCTGGTTCATGGAGGGTCGTGTCTTCTCCTTCCTCCATCACGCCTTAGACAGGAGGAAGCCTGCAGGAAGCCTCCAGTCTCCAACAATTGTAAGCAGCAAAAAATTTCAACTGTGGCTCAACCGTCACATTTTTTGGGGTTGAACTGGGAATGTGAAATGAAGCTGCGGGATTGGGGAGGGGATTGCCCCTCTCCGCTCTGTGCTGGTGCAGCTTCGCCTTGACTCCTGGGGGCAGATTTGGGCCCCCAAAGTATAAGGAGGCTATAAAGCTTTTAGGGAGCATCCAAAGATGGTGAAGTGTCTAGAGGGGAAGCTGTACAAGGAGTGGCTGAGGTCCCTTGGCTTGTTCAGCCTGGAGAAGAGGAGGCTGAGGGCAGAGCTCACCGTGGGCTGCAGCTTCTTCGCGAGGGGCAGTGGAGGGGCAGCTCTGATCTCTGCTCTCTGTGACAGGGACCCCAGGGAACAGCTGGAGCTGTGCCAGGGGAGGTTTAGATTTTAGGATATTGGGAAAAGGTTCTTCACCCAGAGGGTGGTCGGGCACTGAACAGGCTCCCCGGGGAAGTCACAGCACCAACCCTGACAGAACTCAAGGAGCATTTGGGCAGCGCTCGCAGGGACAGGGTGGGATTGTTGGGGGCGTCCTGTGCAGGGCCGGGAGCTGGACTGGGTGATCCCTGTGGGTCCCTCCCCACCCAGGATGCGCTGTGGCTCTGTGAGTGTTGCCACCGCGGCCGGGGCGCTGCCCGTGCCCAGCGCCGGACCCCGAGAGGGCGACACGTTCCCGGTGGGCCCCGAGCCGTGTGCGGCGGGGCGAAGGGGCCGCTCAGCGGTGTCAGGATGGCCGAGCGGTCTAAGGCGCTGCGTTCAGGTCGCAGTCTCCCCTGGAGGCGTGGGTTCGAATCCCACTTCTGACAACTGGCTGCTCTTTTGCGCTGCGCTCGCCCTTTCCGTCGGTTAATTGCTTTTAATTGCGGCGCTTTGTTTATTTTAATGAGGCTCCCGCCTCCTCCCGGCCAAAACAGGGCGCCGGGCGGCGCAAAAGGAGCTGTCAGAAGTGGGATTCGAACCCACGCCTCCAGGGGAGACTGCGACCTGAACGCAGCGCCTTAGACCGCTCGGCCATCCTGACCTGCCGGCGCTGCGCCTCCCCGAGCCGGGACCCATCATACCCCGGGGGTCGGGGGTGACACCGCGTCCAGCCCCGCGTAACGTCTCCAGTAACGACCCCCGTGATGACACCAAACGGGGAGGAGGGATGATAGTCCAGAGGGTCCTGCTGCTACCCACAGGGACCTGGACAGGCTGGAGAAACGGGCTGACAGGAACCCCCTGGAGCTGAGGGTGGTGAGACTGGCACAGGTTGCCCAAAGAAGCTGCGGATGCCCCATCCCTGCAAGTGTCCAAGGCCGTACTTGGAGCAACCTGGCCTAGTGGAAGGTGCCCTGCCCGTGGCAGGCGGTTGAAACGAGGTGCTACAAGGTCACTTCCAACCCAAACCATTCCAGGACTCAACAAGGAATACCGTGCGCCGCGCGGCCCCCGCGGGGGAGCGACGCCAGGCACCGGGATGCGCTGGGGGACACAGAATGTCCCCGGGGCACCGAGCGGGACACGGGCTGCGCTCAAGGCTCGTAGTGTCCCAGACAGAGCATCGCCAGGACGGGAGGAGACCGGGGGGAGGCTGTCCCGGCGGGGCCGCCCTTTGTCGCCGGTCCCCCGGTGCGGGGACATGGCGGGGCCGGGCGGAGGCAGCGGGGCGGGGGCAGCGCGGGGCTCGGCCCGGACCCGCCCGCGGAGGGGCCGTACCGGGGCCGTGCCGGGGCCGTGCCGGGGCTGTGCCGGTGCCCGCGGCATGGCGGGGCTGCCTGGTGCCCCGCGCGCCCGGAGCGGCTCCCCGGGCACCGCCCCGGCCCTGGACGGCACCTTCCTGTGCTCGCCCCTCGGGGGGCTGATGGGCACCCAGGCCGTGAGTACCGGGGATGGGACAGGGCGGGAGCGGGGAGGGCGTCACCCGCTTGGATGCTTTTCTTCGCAGCCCTGGTTGGAGGCAGCTCGGGCTCCCTTTGGCTGCCACCCCCACCCCATTCCCGGTGTCCAACCCTACGTAATCTCTAACCCTGAGGCACCGCAGCCCCCCTCTCGTCCTTCCCCCTCTGAAGCCAGAGGAAAATTCGGCTTCTTGTCCTCACACCCTTTGCTGGTTGTAACTCCACGCAGTTCCCATTGCCAGGCACGGCTGATCAGCGTGGCCATTGGGTTGGGGGGATCTCACAGGCAGTGGGTTGGGGGTGTGTGTGAAGCACGGTGACCCCAACTGAGGTGTCCTGGGGTCGCTCATGGGATGCTCTCTCGCTCCCTGGGCACTCCCAGCCCTCCAGATTGTCCTCCAGGCTTTGGCGGCCGCTCTCAGATGAGCCCAAGGGTCTTTGCACCAGTCACCCTCCCCATTGCTTCAGCATTGGAGGTGACCACAGAATGAACTCCCACTGCTGCTCCCTCCTGGCACCTCGGGTGCCACACGAGAGCACACGGGTGGGCGTTCAGCTGCGTGCAGGGCCACGTGTGACCTGCCCCGGGGTCTGCCCACGGTGCTGCCCTGCAGGTTTGCTCATCCTCTCTCCTCGGGGCAGTGCTGGTGGGGCAGCAGTGGGATGTGCCCTTAGTAGCCCCTGTGAAAACAGCTGGCATGGACCTGGCTCCAGATTCCAACCCCTGGGCATGGCTGAGCTGGTTGTGACACAGGAACAAAGCTCAGGGAAGGGGGTGGGAAGGATGCTGCCGGGGGTGCCTTGCAGGAACACCAGGAAAGAGGAATGGGACCAAAACCAACAGAAGGGATCCTTCAACCCTGCAGCTGGTCCCACCTCTCCAGCCCCTTGCTCGGGCTGTACCATTAAACACACTCACCCATCCACTGAGACCCGCTGCTCCCCAAATCCTCTCTCCTAAGGGCTCCAGCTTTTCTCCCCCAGCAGCTGGAGCAGGGCAGCTCACACATGCCACCTCCCACTCCTGGAGGAGCCCCCTAAACATGTTTCTCCCCAGCACATATTTTGTGATCACGAGTGTTAGAAATGGATGTGACAGACAAGGAGGCATTGTCGGCGCAGCCGAGCACCAGGGCGTTGTACGCGGGCAGGACAAAGGCTGTTGTGTTTCTGCTGTGACAATAAGTGGTGCTGGTTTACGCAGGGGCAGAGCAGCTCTCCAGAGAGCCCTTCTGCTCCCCAGCATGCCCCTGCTTCCCTGGAGCGAGGGGGACCCAACTGCTGCCGGTGCTGGTGGACAATGTTCTGTGTTCCACCTGCAGGAACCAGCCCCTGAACACCTTCCCTGTTTCACCCCACAGGTGCTCGGCTTACTGGTGTGGTCTCTCATCGCTGCCACAACGTACCACCTGCACGCGGCCTACGGCTGGGTGATGTTTGTGGCCCTCTTCTGCTGGATACTAACACTCCTTTTCTTCATGACTTACCTCCTGCAGCTTCAGCTGAAGTTTTACGTGATCCCCTGGCCCCTCGTGGTGCGTAGCCGAGAGGGAGTGAGGGAGGGCCCCAAATGGGAAACAGCTTGGGGAGACAGTCTGAAGGGACCAAAGCTTCAAGCTCTTCTGGGCTGACAGAACAAAATCCCCTGCACTTTGCACAGTGACATTCTTTCATTGTGGCCCTCAATTGCTTAGCGAATATTCAAAATGCAGAGTCCCGTGTCAATCCAGAGAGTTAGAGCCAGGTTTTGGTGTTACTGCTGGTGTCAACCAGAAACCTCTCAGCACAACCTGGGGAGCATTTGATGTGACGTTAACCTGGCGTTTGTTCCCAGTGTGAGGGGCTGGGCCATTTTCCCCTGGTTCTCCTGGGGAACAGGGAGGAATGTGAAACTGAGCCTTTTACTCATCCCTCATCCTGGCATGCACGAACCCGAGCCCAGGCCTCACCACCTCCTCTTTGCCTCCCCCAGCTGATGATCTACAACGCCGTGGCCACCGTCCTGTACATCAGCGCCTTCGTCACGTGCGCGGCCGCCGTCCAGCCGACGTCCTGGCGGCAGTGGGATTACAACCGCAGAGCCGCGGCCTCCGTAAGTACTGGCGGGCAGGTGAGGGCTGAGGGGCTGGGGCAGCCACCGTGGTCACCCAGGGGGGTGTTCTCCTCTTCCAGTTCTTTGCCTGTGTCACCATGATCATCTACGGGGTGAGCACCTTCTTCAGCTTCCGCGCCTGGAAAGGGCTCGGCAGCAACGCGGCCACCAGCCAAGTGACTGACCACGTGTAAGGAGTGGACAGCAAAGGCACCCACGGGTGCCCAGCTCGGAGCCTCATGTGCCACCAGGGCTCGCCTTGGGACCAGCCCGTGCTGGCAGCAGTGGTCAGCACTGGGTCACGTGGATGCTGCTCTGTGGTTTCCGATGATGCTTCCAGCTGACGTGCCCACAGCACCGACCGGCGTCATCCCCGACGGCCTCGCCGGAGAACACGGACTCGCTGGAGGCTGCGGCTCCTGCTCATCCTTGAGGGTCACCTGGATCCTTGCTGGAGCAGCTCCACTGAGGGGGCTCAGCCAATGCCGCACGCTCCGATACTAAAATTCACTAAACCAAGCCCGGGCTCCCCTCTCTGCTCATTCACAGCTACAGTGTAAGTAATTGCAATTAACGGGATGCAGAAACCGTGGCAGAGCCAGGAGGTGGAAGCGAAGCGAAGGAAGGAGTCCTAACTGCTCTTGTGTTGATTTCTAACAACTTGAATACAAATTTTATGCTTTAAATAAAAACATTCCTAAATCGAGCACTGGAGTCTGTCATGAGAAAGTTTGTCTTGCGAGAAGGCAGCACGCAGAGCATGGCAGGGACAGCAGAGATGTCACTGCAGAGGTGACTGTCCTTCCCCACTCCATGTGGGTTTTATACCTGGCAATGGAAGGAACAAGCCCACAGGGCTTTAAGCACACACACACTCAGAGCCTGCATCCAAACCACAAGAAAACAAGGGAGGTGCCAAGGCTTTGATCACTCCCTGCTCCCCACTCAACACCACACCCCCCTCAGAGTTCACCTAATTAACCAGCAAGTCAGTTTTGCCCGTTGGTTGCAGGTGATTTTCAAAAATTAAAAGCAAGTCTGCAAAAGCTCGGGGAACACTGGAAGAAGGATCAACACCTCGGGAGAGCACAGAACCACTGCTCACCTGTGATGCAGATCACAAATTCACCTTCTGGGCATTTGTCAGAACTAGAAGAGATGCAGCTTTTTCTTTCACAGTCTTCTTGTACAAGCTAATAAAAATAGATTAAATGAGTTCCAAGGCTGGTGCATGGTGAGCTACACTGCAAAACTTACTGCATGCTCTGCACAGGAGCAGTTCCACCGGGTTGTCTGCAGGGGCAGCCGCAGGAAGTGGAGCTGCACTGATGGAAGGTGAGCACTGAAAAGGAACCAGACACATGGCATTGGCCCCTGACAGATCTGCCTTTATTTGGTTGTCAGTGAGTAAATCACGGGTCAGGTTTCCACAACTGTGAATATAGAGAGATATAGATATATAAAAATCAGGAACAGTAAGAAAATTAGTAAAAAAATTAAATTAATAAAAATTAACATGGTGGGTCACTACCAAAATCAACAGGTCTAAATAGGAAGTTTACTTACACAGTGCTAAAAGACACCAGTCTCAGCTTTCCAAACCCTGACACATTCCAAGTGTATAGAGCATTTTTCCAATTTCAACTACATCACCAGGCAACTGAAGATGCAGAATCTACATCTCTCTGGGAAGGATGGGACCAAAAAGATTGTGTGCTGCTCTTACAAAGCAGGCAATGGCCAATCAACAAGAATTCTGCCTTGGCATCTTGTCAAATACTTCCCTGCACCCCCTGATTTCTCAGTTAAAACCATGGCCCTGAAAATTTCACACCTTTTCCTGCCTAAGGCCAGGCTGGATGGGTTTGAGTGACCTGGTCCAGTGGAAGGTGTCCCTGCCCATGGCAGGGGCTTGGAACGAGATGATCTCCTGTGAAGCAATGCTGCTGCAAAGAAAGAATAAACTGTTCCCCATGTTCAGCTGAAACAGGACAAAGAACAACGAGCTTGAGCTGCAACTCAAGCACTTTATATCAGATTGCAAAAGGCTGCCAGCAGCAGCAACAGCTGGGCACTGCCCCAAACTGCCTGGCTTCGAATGTGTCCTGGCAGACACGTTAGGAGGAGTTTGGGCAGAGCTGGGAAGGGAAGGCCACCTCTCACAGTCTCTTCCATCCACCTTGTAAAAGGGTATAAAACTCCCAGAAAGCTCTGATTTGACTCCCCCTGGATAAGGGCCCCTTGGTCCTGGCCCTCCCCACCACGTGCCCACTGCCCTGAGGGCGGAGCTGAGCTCCCTCTGGCCATCTCTTGGGAATCTCTCTTGGGAATCACTGCCTTCCACCTCTGAGACTAGAATAGACCTTGCTTAAAATACAACAGAACTCCCTTCAGAATGACTTGTTTAATGGTTTAATGAAGTCACCACTAACGCACTGCTTAAGTCCAGACCTCGACCTTCTTTTTCCTAGAAAGGAAAGAAAAAGAAATCTGTGACTCCAGAATGTTCTGGAATAAGCAGTTCAAAAAATGAAACAGGCAGTGCATACTCTGTTTGTTGCATCAAATCAATATAAAATTACATGTTATTTGAACATCTGTGATTGAATGTGAACCCAAAGAGATTGTGCAGGAATCCTTGGGGTAAGGGGAAAAACCTCATCCAAAAACCTTTAACACTTTTGTTTATTTCTCCAACCTGCACAGAGACGAGGAGAAAACAAATGAAATAGGCTTAAAAATTCTGGACATACTAAGGATAAAAAGAAAACTAAAAAAACTTCCATATTATAGAATCAGAATGGTCAAGGTGGGAAGGGATCTCTGGAGTTCATCTGGTCCAAATCCCGTGCTCAAACAGGGCCACTCAAGACCATGTCCAGAGACCTGTGGAATATCTCTAAGGATGGAGACCCCACAACTTCCCTAAGGAAGGTGTGCCAGTACTCAGAGACCTTCACAGTGAAAAGGTGTTCCCTTCTGTTCAGTTGGAAATCAATGTTCAAAGATGCAGAAAGTGTGTGTTTCTGAAGAACTGCTCATTCATGTTTTCTAAAAATGAGCTTAAAAAGACACTCAGTGAAGTAATTTTCCTTTTAACTCTGGTACAGCCTTTGATTAAAGGCTGCAACTTACTGTAGCAACTTTACCTTTGGTACTCCCAGGGGGAGCTACCCAGAACCAACAGCCACTGTGCCAGTGAAAACAAACAGTGTGTGACATACTCACAGCTCTGTATTCCAAGAACATCTCTTTGAAAGCCAGGAAGTCCGTAAATGTGAGAAGCAGATCAAATATATCACCTGGCATTTCATCTTTGCGTTGCCTACAGAGAGAAAAAGTTGGGGGGGTGAGAAAACTGAGCCAGAAAAATTTGTTATTTTAAAACGGCACGAGGCCAAAAAGGACAAGTAGAACAATATCACTATTTAAACAAGAATGTTATTACATGTGTATCATAAAGCAAAACTGTGGTCAAGGATTACCATGCAGTATTTCCAATCCAAGTACATTATTATATTGATCTAAATCCAAGACCTAAGAGTATCATATCAGTCCTTGAAGTCAACAAAAGTAACACTCAGCAGCATTCCTCTATTTATTTATCTTGAGCACTGACACTGCCAGACAGTTCCTTGAAAGGTGAGAAAGTTTGGAGAGAGGCACAGGTGCCCATCCACAGTCCTTAAGAACAATTACTGACAAACCTTGCTAGAGGATGAAAACATTTTGGAAGAAAGGCTCTGAGCTCCCCTGTCAGCAAATTTCAACAAGACTTTCCTAGCAGTCAAGGGCTGGGTTTTTGTTTCTGGTTTGGTTGAGGTTTTTTGTTTGTTTTGTATTGTTGTTGTTGGGGTTTTTTAGTTTGTTTTTCTGTTTTCGTTTTATTATTTCTTTAAAAAAAATCTCCTTCAAAAGGAACTTTACCATAAAGAGGCTGTTCTCTGTGTGCACTGTGTGCATCCAGAGTAACTTCCCAATTTAAGGAACATTAAAAATTAAACTGATTCAAGTGTTTTTAAGACACTCAGGTCCCAAAATTACACTTGATTTCCTTATTCAAGGGGCAAACCAGTGATCTTTCAAAAGTGATCTCTTCATGAAGCTGGTTAAGCTGAAGTGAACAAATGCAAAAGCTGAACACAAACCAAAGTCTTCTCTGAACGTTCTGTACAATAACTGCAATAAAGGAATTTCATCACGTGACTCTAAAACACCACCAGGCTACTGAAGTGCCTGGAAGAGATAAACAAGGCCCAACATTTTAAGGGTTTGGCTTCAAAGTGACAAGAAGTATGAAAACCCTCCAGTGTTCTCATTCTGATTTTCCTTCCTACCCCTTAGAACCCAATATATTTCAGCATCATAATTCTGAAAGAGTAGCAGGACACGCTGAAGGCAGGAAAAGTGGTCAGTCATTGCCTGCATGAACACTTCTTTTTTTAAATTGAAGAGGAACCGTTATCAAAAGGGACAATTGTCAAAACTAAATTTTAATCTAGATTAAAAAAACTGAGAGGCACATAAACCACCCCCTCCTCAGCCAAAAGCAAAGCAAGGACTTACTGCAACGACACCGTGAACGCGACCATGTCAAACCCACGAATGCGATCAAGCAACTTCTCTTCAATGTATTTCTCTACTAAAGAGATCTGAAAAAAAAAACCCCAAACAAACCTCCCCTGTAACATCACAACACATTTCAGAAGCAGATTTCTGAACAGCATCCTTGCACTGACACCTTCTTGACACTCTGCATGATCCTCACTGGGCACCAACTGCGGATTCCTCGTTGGGGCATTGCTGGTTCTGTTCTCACACCACCCCTGAGGCAAGAGCTGAGCATGTTTTTGCTGGGGATGTTGGGTGAGAACAAACACTGACTATCTGTATCTAGTAATTATGTCCTATTTTTAACTCATTTAATGGTATTGACAAGTAGACTGGTCTAGTTTCTTAATCGTGCCTTGCATGAAGAATATGACTGAAGTGTTCAATACAGGAAATAATACAACTGGGAAAGAAGAAACTTGGTTTGCTCACATGTTAAAAACACATTACTTACTACTGCAATAGGCTAAATTTCTATTCAAGAGTTACACAACTTCCAAAAACATCCCTAGAAAACAAGTAGAACACACCCTTCCTGTTAACAGATCATGGCTGTGCTTCTGAAGGAGACAGCAGGCACAGTGTTGGATCTGCTCCATGGAAGCCAAGTATTTTAT